CTAAATTAAAAAGCGCAATTCGAGACTCCAATACGAGTGTTTTCAATGCCGTGTTGGTAATTCTTAACACAATTCATCTCTAGGACTTGACACAAGTTCTAAAAGAGTCAAGAACTTGATCGCACCAATGTAAAGATTCAGAACTATTGATAGCATTGGTACATACTGAAGACTCTCTATGCATGATAGGTAATTTCTAACGCGAGAATAAAATTTGATCTAACATGAAATCAACACATCTAAATAGGCGCAAGGATACTAAAAATGTCAAAAGTTTCGTACTGCGCTCGCTTTGGTGTTAACAGTTTTTTTCGGATCACTTAAATACCACGTTTTATTTAACAAAAAAAGTTGATAATTTAAGTGTTAACTTTGATCTTTAATGCCAAAAATATGATATGCCAATATTTTAATATTTTTTCCGACTACATGGCTCGCCGGAGGTTTGGATCAACATAGAAAGCCAAAAACAACGTTGTTCAACAATTTTCATTTGCCTACACGACCCCAAACAACATCGTTCAACAAGAAAAACCTAACGATCAATTTCTTGATGAACAACGTCGTTCAACTCTCTCTCTCTCTCTCTTCCATTTCTTCAACTGAGCTCTGCAACATCAAATGAAATCAAGCAACCCCTCTTCCTCCTCCGCTACCTCCAGTGGCCATTCCTAAAGCTCCAGACACTCGTGCCACGCCTCAGCAACGACTATAGAAGCCCCGGTTTTCCCTAAATTTACCATTGGTGAGAAGGACCTGAGAGCTCCCGTTTTGGCATTTGTCATTGATTTTGTGTATTTCATCAGTGACCCACTTCATGGCGGTGCTTCATCCTTGTGCCCCTATCCCTTTCGACGCTCATGTACAAAGCAAAGCTTCTCGGAATCGTCGAATCTACCTTAAATAGCCTCGACCTCAACTTGCTCTATTCTGCTCTGTTTTGGATAGGCGGGACACACAGTGGGTTGCACCATGAAAATGGCGTCCAAGAAGGGCCGAGATCAAGTTCGGATGAACATGGAATACTCAAGAGCCTAATTTTTGCCTCCGAGCCCTAATATTTCCCTTCTATTGAGCGACTTAGGGAGGATGACGCACCTAAGTGAGTGAGAGCGATAGAGATGGCAAGCAAGCGATGGCAAGCGAGCGATGATAAGTGAGCGACGACAATGGTGAGCGAACGATAGTGATGGGGAGAGTGGTACGACGGGCAGCCAGCATTGAAGACGATGAAGCCCTATAACCTACCTTGTGTGCAACGTCGTTTATGCCCTACCCAACCACATTATATTGAGCGATGTCCTTTTGCACGTTCTCGTGGACCGGACTTCTTTGAAAAAAGGCCAATTCATTTCAATTTTTTTAATTATAAATGCCACGTAAATTTTTTGGCCTGAAATTTTTGTCAGAGGCACTTAAGTGATCGTTTTTTCTCCGATTTGATAATTAAATGAGCTGGCTTAAACTTTTGGCACTAAAGTAAGTGTCGTACGAAACTTTTGGCACTTCAGGTATCCTATAGTCCATCTAAAAGTATGTTAATCATCATGCACCACAACTAGTCAATTCGCTCGACATGACTTATGAACTTCGAAATTGAGTTCAACCCGTCCTTGTAATCTAGAATTGAGTAAATAAAGGACATTATAACATCTTTAGCCATACATATGTATTTATGTATGTTATACCATATATAATTTATGCGTGTTCGTTTGCACTTTATCTGTGTAAATAAGTATCTTTTAGATCGTTAATTTATTCGTCATATCACTTTTTACATGCAATATGCGCGGGTAATTTTGCTAGCATTTCTTTAATCGAACCTACATTACTTCATTAAAAACGAAAATTCTATTTTCTCTCCAAAATTGAGCAACGACAGAAAAAAGAAAAGAAAAATAAAAAGGAAAACGAGGGGACCAATAATGAATCCATAGCATAAATTTAGCTTCCTAGAGGCAAAAGTCGGCATCCACGGGACGGACCAGTGCAGATGCATAATTGAAGAAATATCTGAATCGAGTGTTGACAGCATAAGTTCGACGTACACCTAAAAGTTGATTTTTCATCGATATTGCAAAGTATAATAATAATACTAATAATTATAATAATAATGATGATGGTGGCTTTCATGACCAAAATGATGATGGACAACAAGCTTGCATGACAGCCATTGGCATGGCTCATGAACAGATCCATTCATTGCGATCCTCATTGATATTCACAAAGCAAGCATAGCCTGCCTTTACGCTTGGTGTGGCAAGATTGATATCATGATTTCCCCTTTAACATGCAAATATGGCATTATTATATGTTCGAAGAGGGTTCTTGGGATAATGGCATATTAAGGCACAAAATCATTTTATAGTGTTTCTGCTTTCCGGTTCATTCCATGTACAAATCATCAACACCATGGCACATTCATCAAACTTGCATTTGGCCAACCTTTGCTTATGAAAATACTTTCCATAATTACACATCAAAATGATGCCCTTGATCATCCTCAACAACTTAGTTTGATTACGTATGTTTATCGCCCCGTGGCACGTTATCAAAGACAGAGACTTGTGTGCTAACGCAATCAAATCCTAAATTTTAATCGGTGCGATAATCGGATGACTATATCTTCATTTGAAAGCAATTGAGTCCCCAACTTTTTAGGTAATGCAATCATATCATAAATCCTCGCTAGAGGTTGCAATCAAGTTATAAACACCTCTACGGAAAAATGATATTTTGGTCTACCACTTAACATTTCCTAATCTTCACATACGGGGAAAGCACCAAAAAAATTTTAAACCTATTGCATTGGTGCCAATTCAGTCATAAACATTTCAATTACATCAATTTAGTCCTAAACATTTTGTATTTGTGCAATTTAAGTCCGTCCAGCAAATTTTGATCGGAAATCGCTAACGAGAATACTGCCGTCCTACGTGGCGCGATTAGCGCTAATGTGGACATTTTTAAACAATATTTTGAAATTTTTATGGTCTTTTTCTTTTCTTCTCTTGAGTTTTTTTGGCTGAGGGCCAGTAAGGGTCGTTGGCATTGGACAAGGGTGCTGCGGCCTCACCTCGATTTGGCAAGGGCCACGGTGCCCCTTACCTAGCCCAGATTTGGGCGAGGGGCTTTCGGGCCCTCACTGTGGCCGGCGAGGGCATGGCGGCCCTTGCTTGGGCCCTCACCAGCCACAGCTAGGGCGTGGCGGCCCTCGCTAGATCTGGGCAAGTGCCACGACGCCCTCACCGACTACAGAAAGGGCCTGTGAGAACTCGCCGGCCATAGTGAGGGCTCGAACCCTAAAAAAAGGTAAAGAGAAAAGAAAAAAGGAAAAAAACCGTAAAAATTAATAAAATTCAAAATATTATTTAAAAATGTCCATGTCAGCACTAGCCTCGTCACGATTGGTACAAATGTAAAAGGTTTATGATTAAATTGGTCTAATTGAAATGTTTTAAACTGTATTGACATCAATGCAATAAATTTAGGATTTTTTGGGTACTTTTTCCTCACATATGCAACTTCGGTACCAATGACTTAATTGATAAATTAAGATTTGATTGCACTTATTTAAAAGCTTTTACCTCAATTTTCTTTATGTATTTACGGTTTAGAACGTTTAGTGAACTTTATAAAGTTTTCTATGTATATACATGCACACTTTTAAACTTCGGAAACCACCCTCACTTTCTACGATCACATCAATTTGCATCCTCATCGACATTTACATCCTGAATCTCAATATTAGACTTCAAATTGAATCTACCATCGATAAATGTTATCTACTTATTGTCTAATTTGCTATTTTCTAAGAGCTTAGGGTTTTCTTGGATTCTTTTTTGGAGGTGGTTAAATTGTAAATTGGTCATTAGGAATTGGGTCTTTTGTCCGAAGATGTAAAATGTAAGTTTCAAAGATCAAAGGTTGGTGGTGGTGAAGATCTATGACGCCCAAGGCCCACTCGTAACGATATTGTTTGCTTTGGGCCGGAGCCCGCACAGTTTTGTTCTTTTAGGCTTCGCCCAGAAAAGGCCTCGTTACAAATTAGGACAAGTGCCACCACATATATGGCACTTTACCTCACCACACCCAGGCGATATGGGATCCGGTTCATTCCTGCCCCCTTCACCATTCTCGAAGCCTACCAAGAGTCGCTCATTGTCCAAGCCCTCTGGCCCCGGCAACCACTCTCCGCCCTCGCAGGACCAAGTCGTTACAGGCCCACCAGCTTCTGCCTGGTTCGTCCCTGACCACACACTTCCAGCTGGGCTTGGCTCTTATACCACTGTGTCGCCCAAGGCCTACTCGTAACGATATTGTCCGTTTTGGGCTGGAACCAGCATGGTTTTGTTCTTCTAGGCTTCGCCCAGAAAAGGCCTCGTTACAAGTTAGGACAAGTGTCACTATATATATGGCACTTCATCTCATCACACCTAGGCATTATGGGATTCGGTCCATTCCTATCCCATTCGCTATCCTCAAAGCCTGTGAGGAGCCGCTTCTTGTCCAGGACCTCTGGCTCTGGTGACCACTCCCCACCCTCGCAAGAACGGGTCATTACAAGATCGAAGATGGTTTTGAAATTTTCTCCTTTTTTTATTAAGATAATTGAGAAGTTGTACGTTGTAGATTTGTTAGTAGTGTGCTTGATACTTCATTTGGAAGAAATTGAATTTAGGGGTGTTTGTCTGAATAAAAAATTATCCGTGAAATAGTTTCATGGACTTTCACGCGTTTGGTTTGCTGAAATGGATCGGTCAACAGAAAATCATTTACAGCCAAATTAAATATCCACACTTAAAGTTAGGAAAATGAATTCCTTAATTTGAAAAGAGATAAACATTTTCCTAAAAAATGATTTTTCGAAAATCATTTTCCTTTATTATAAAGTTTTTCCTAAAACAAACACACACTTTAATTCACAGTCTAGATTATAGATTCTCATTCTGACGAAAAAAAAAGAAGACTTACGACTATCATAAAATTGGGGGCATGACTTGCTGGTTGCTCTTGACTTTTGGTGATTGGTACACTATAAAATGTAGGAGTTCAATTACGTGTCACCAATCTAACTTGAAAAAATGATTGGCAGCATGGGACAAAAGCTTTAGCCACATTAACCTCCTAAATTCAAACATCTTTGACTTTCCTTTGCCAAATTTCTCCATGAAAAGCATCCGCTGCGCACTTGGCTACCCAGCATTTATCGTGGGCACAATAAATGGTACACCAAAAATGCGTCCTTCTCGATTCTCTCGTACTAAGGAAATGTTCTCTCGATGCTCTAACACCATCGCTGGATATAGACCGAACTGCTTCCCAGTAATACCCGTTTAGTTGTCAGCAGGACCGAGAGACGTCATAACTTTGTGGTGACAAGAAAAGTCGATACCGAAAGAGACAGCAACCGGCTGAAATAAATTTGAATTCGGTGCCAGTTTCAGAGGGGGCTTGCAAGTCCAAACAAAGAGGTGTGTGTGAATGAAGGGCAATGAGGGTCCGGAAAGAAACACAAGAAAGAACTCCATGATCTGCAATAATTCAGTCAGATGCAAGACAGCATCACCAATAATGAAAAGTTTTTAGACACAGAGCTGAGGATCCAACTGAGCTGCAAGAGAAAAGACAAGAGACAACAGGCATTGCAACAGTTATATATGAACAAACACAAATAATTTTGGTCCCCCCCTACCCCCCCATTTTACTGCAATGTACAACTAAGAGTCCCCAAGAAATAATCCTAACCAAGCTGTGTCTGAAAGAACAAGATTCATCAGGAGATTTGGCTCTCTCCCTCTCATGTCCTGAAAAATGAAGATCTCTCCCACCTTATTAAAATAATAGATTATGCTAATTGACAATGCACATTGAGATTCTCTCAAGAGTGTCTCTCCTCCTAAAGGTTACAAGGCAACTTCTTTTTCTTGGTTTTGGCAAAAGGGTGAGAAAGAAAACTAGAACAGAGAGAGAACAGGGCAGAGTATGAGTTATGCATTCAACTTTACCATCCCCAAAATGGAGCAAGACCCAAAAAATTTTCATTCTTCACTCAGTTCTTATCATTGGCAGTAGTTCTACTGTTGGACCAAAACTTGCTGAACATCTTCTTGGGCCGCGCCGGGATTGCGCAGAAAGCCTTGACAATAGAACTCCTCGACATTCTGTCATGTTGTGCATCGTCGTTATCGTCCAAGTCGTCGTCCTCGGCCAATTTCATCTTCAACGTCGAGAGCTTTGATTTGCTGGGAGACTTCAGGCCTGAGACGCTCCACTGGTCCTCAGGGAGGATGCTCGTTGTGGTGCTTAATGGTGCTGGAGTTCTGGACGAGTCAAGGCCGTGCGCTGCCAGGAGCGCCTTGATGTTGCCCGGGAGCGCAGTGACCTTGCCACTTGCCATTGTGGCTCGTGCCTGCTCAAAGAAGAGGACCTGCACCACCACCCTCAGAGGCAAGAGCTCGTTCTGCGCTGCGTGCATGCAGGCTTCCATGGATAGTTTCTTGCAGTCCAGGATTCGGCACAGACGCTTCCTTTCACTCTTGTTCAGATTCGGGTGTGCCTGTGTAAGAGATCAAACAAGTAATGTATAGTCAGATCATAATCAGAATTCAGAGCTAGCAATGAGGATTGTCCAAAGCGAGTGAGGCTAAAACAGAAATTTGTCCCAGAATTGAAATAGATTGTACGAAGTTTCATCCATCTTAGGAACAAATCTGGCTAAACCGTGAACTTAGTCTTATGACATACTCCAAGATTGTGCTGCAGAAGTAGTACTATGAATCCATGTCAGTTACATAGTTAAGGTTATCTGACGCACGACACATGACCAAGTGAAGTCAGATCTATTTTCCCCTTTTGCATAAATTTATCAGGGACATAAGTCCATTTTCACCAGAATCCTAACTGCCGGTGAAAAGTTTGCAACAAGAGCAAGAGTCCCAAGGTCAAGAGAGTTGGTCATCTACTGCTGATAATGACTTACCACCTATGTTGACAATGATTGCTAGACCTAAAGCATGTTGATGCCATTTACCTATTTTGATGTCATTTACCTTGAGATAGAAGTCAATGGCTCGGTAAAGGTCGTCGTGATCTACCCTTGCGAATTCCGGGACCGCTTCAGCGAGAGCTACGAACTTCGCCAGTGGCAAATTAACATCGCGGCTGATCTCTTGCAAGTAAGTGTCAACGATCTTTGCTACCTTCAGCTTTGAGCTGTGCGATGCTGAAGACGACCTCCTGCTTTCCTGAAACTCAATATTGATGTTTTCGGCTGACCGAGACCTCCTCCTCTCACACTCGAGCTTCGATCTCAGGGGGCTAGTTGGGGGACTCTGACCCTGTATCATAAACTGCTCCAAAATTGTCATCACTATGTCCACATCGTACAATGTCTCGTTCGCCTGCGACAGATGAGGAATTAAGAGATCGTTCGGCATCGCTTCCTCCAGTTGAAGCCCCACTCTCTTGGCCAGTTCCATTCTTGAAGAAGAAGACGCGTTTAGGATGTTCGCCGCCTTCAAGAGCTTCAGCAGGAAACTGGATGAAACTGCGCCTTTCTCTGCAGGAAGCAAGCTAATTATCGACTCCAGAAGAAGCCGGTCCTTCGAAGCAAGCTCTTCATTGTTAGAGTCCGAATCTGAGTCGGACACGGCTTGCTTCTTTGCATTCCCAGCTCTTGATACGTTTGGCAGCCACCGAGACGCATAAATCTTCAGGGCATCGCCAACCAAATTGGAGGGTATTTTTCCTCCGGATTTTATGGCTATCATAGTTCTCCAATAAAGGTCGATCCCCAAGTCGGCTAGATCTTCGGCCCACCAACCCTTAACTGCCAATCTATGCCTCTGGCTCTCAGCTCCATTACAAGACATATCGTCCCGGCCGCGACGGGAGTGACTATGAGATAGACTAACCTTCGACGGGTTTGTCAGGACTTTGCTCGCGATTGCCTCGATGCATCTGCTGGTGATTCCGAGGTCTTCAGACCACAGAGGGAAGGCCTTGGTACTCTGCAGAGTCACAATTGAATCCCTCCAACCGTGAAGAATACATGAATTGAAGAAGACCTCAATCTTGTATATCAGATTGCCCTTCTCGACGTCCTCGGACATCTGGAGGTACTCAGCGGCACATCGAGCAGCGATGATGTTGTAGGCACTTAGAGTGATGGTGATCCCGTAGCAGAACTTGGCGCACAGCTCGAATGCCTCAACACCACCCGGGAAATCAGGAAGTTGGACAATATGGTGCTGCGATGATTCAGGCAACTCCGAGCAGAGTCTCTGCAATCGCAAGCACTTCGAGAGGAGGGGAAACTGCGTGGGACGCGAAATTAATCAGAATAACAGACATTCCAGAATCACCTTTAAAATAAAAAGCTAAAGATTCATTCAAGGATGTTCAATCCGAACAATATATACCTTGTGGAGCAAATATCTAGTTCCTTTCACTTGTACTATGAGGTCACTGGACACTTCAGAAGACACTGACCTGCATCCAGAAGAATTCAATTCATGAGCTCAACCTCCAATTCCACAAACTTGAAGAAGAAATCAAAGAGAAAATTCACTCTTAGTCTAGTCCACAGGTACCTCACTGCTTCAGTAGTATAAAAAGTGTCCGGCCGAGATCCGAGCTTCATAAACTTCATGACTTCACTTGTTACTGTAAATCCTCCCTCTAGCTTTCACTTGATCATCCGATTAGGTACGCAACAAGATGTGAAGACTTGGAGACTTTGCTACTCCTGATGCTGCCCAAGACTCTCAATTTGAGACTCCCTCCAACCAAAGGAGAGAGAGAGAGAGAGAGAGAGAGCTTGTGGAGACCAAACCAGAGTCAAGTCCACTCGTTCTTGTTGCTTGGATTCAATGAATTCCCAACTCTGCAAGCCAACTTGAAATTAAATGGCCAGAACAGAGACCCTGGACTTCAAGAACTGTAAATTGTCTGTGTTTTTTTTTCCCGAGCAAAGAGAAAAGAAGAGGATAGAAATGTTATAAGAGGGAAGAGAATTTCTCCAAGAAGAACCGATGACCAAGAGCTAACCATTTGGTTTGTGGGGGTGGTGAAGTGTTGCTTATGAATTAAATAAAGGAATTGGAATTATGGTAAATGAATAGGTGGTGTAAGGTGACAGAAACCTACGAGATCAAACACAGCCCCAAGGCCCATGTCCTTTCGGTCAAATTCCATGCCTTATTTTTTTTTATTTGGACATGCAAAAACAAAGAATCAACCCCCCCATCAAGATCAAACACATACCCAAGACCGACCTTGCCACTTCCCCACCAAGTCAATCATTCACCACAGCTGAGTTAAAACACAAAAAGAAAAAAAAGATAAAGAATCCTAAATAACCCAAGAATCCCAAATTGCCCAGAAATAGATAAAGACTGGATTTTTATGAAGAAAGACGGGAGATTACCCACCCGAAATGCTGGATTCGTGGCACTCCCAACAAGCAGAAACTGACGACAATCATTCACTGCAAATATTCTACCTGGACCAGAGGGAAAGAAATATGTTATGCCACTGCAAAATTTGCCTCTTTTCTTAGTCTTTTTATGTAAATTCAAGAGGAATAAGAAGGGTTTCCAGCTTAAGCTCTAACCTTTGTCCCCGAGAGGAGAAAAGAAAACGGCAGCGTGCTAAGGGAAAGGCGAAGCCCACGTGCTTATCCTGCGCCCATCAGTGTCCCTCTCTCTCATCATTGCCACACCATTATTTTTTTCCTTTAGTTACTGTGCGACCCCCTAAGATTTCGTTATTTTATTAGTCAAACACTATTTTATACGCAACATCGTACGACTCCCACAATCCCCATTGATATCAAAAGCGGTCGAATTTGCAGATTATGATAAAGTGTGACAAAAAAGAAGAAGGGGGGAATATTTGCCCAAAAGTAAAGTGACTGCACAAAAGCAAGAAGAACAGAGGAGGAGGAAGAGGAGGAGGAGCAGCAGCAACAGTAGAAGAAGATGATTGATGATAAGAGTATCGTTATCAAAAGATGGGCATCTTCATCCTCAGCCTGCACAGCATATATATACACACATTAATGTTATGGAAAAGCAGGGGAAGAAAGATTGAATAATTGCCCTTGGTTTTCACCAGAATAACAGAGGCGCCTCTACATGGCATTGATGGCATATGGTCCTACCCATGACTATGCATGAAACACTTGTTGCCCCATGTGAGATGAAAGTCAATGGCTTCTTCTTCTTCTTCTTATTTTCTTCTTTTTTGTGGAGGTGGGATTTCGGTACTTACATGCTGCAAAATAGTTTCAATTCTTGGGCAGTTGAGGTCATCGTCAGCATTGGATTCTTCTAAACTTATGATCCTTTTTTTCCTTCTTTTCATTTCTTGGTGGGGAGTTTTGATTAATGGGAATCAATGAGTAGTGACATTGACAAACTTGGTGGGGTCCTGGTTTGAAAGAAAGACTAAAAGCAAAAATCACAAAAAAATAAAAATACAAATGAAAAGAGTGAAAAAGAAACCTACGAGTTGATGAGCATATGATGTTAATAGCAGCAAGCTTGATTTTTGAGCCTACAACATTAATAATGTGTGCGTTTGACAAGGTAAGTTTTGATGTTGTTCTATGTACACTTTGCTATCACATTAATTTTTCCTTTGATTTTTTTTTCTTGGGGGGGAGGAAAGATAATGGTCCAGATAATAATTGAGCTAAGGCAACCCCACCTCACTGAATAGATGCCAAGTTAGGACTCCCCTACTATATATCAAAAGAGTTTTCAAACTTGGGGGTGTTTACATTACCAAAAGATCATAAATATGAAAAGCTATTTCATCCACATAAAGACTCTTGTTCATCAGTTATTGCTTTGCCATGCAGATGATTTTTTACCCCCCCTTCTTTTAGAATGGATCAAATGAATTGATCTATGTGGGGTGGGATAATCAGTGAGACATTGAGAGAGAGAGAGAGAGAGAGAGAGAGAGAGAGAGAGAGAGAGAGAGAGTATATAAGACTGAACCACTCTTCCCACTCTAGAGATGAACTTGGAAAATGTTGAGGTTAATTCATAGAGTTCGCAAAAGAGCTTATGCTTTTTTTTTACCCTTCCAGAGTAGCTTCTTTTCTCTTTGATGTGTCATAAGCTGAAAAAAAAAATCTGCTCAATTTTTGGTCAGTTTTGCTTGTTAGGCCCCCCATTAAACCAAGGTTTTGCCGGCATGTTAATCTTGTGAATACATGGAATAGAGCTTGTTACATTTTGAAAGCATATTACTCAATGACTTTCTGAAGGACATTAAAATAAGCTAAAAAGACCTTTAATTGTAGATAATTTATCCACATTGGGATGGACCCAATGGTAAGGGTATTCTCATACTTTGCTACCCTGGATAGTCCAAATTTAAGTGAAGGTCATGACAATGGGTTGTTGTGCTAGTTCTCCTCAATATAGCTACTAATTACAGTCGTACTCCTGAATTATAAAAAGAAATTTTGTGAATTTTTGAATAGATATGCGTCACAATATTCCATTCTAAACAGATGAATTTAAACGTGCAACCTCTTCCTCCAAAGAAACAAAAAAGAAAAAGAAGAAAACGAATTGCTAAAGGGAACATCTTTTCCTCCCCCATCCCTGAATAAAGGAAAATTTTCCACCGCCTTATGTCAATAGAGTTGATCATCCCTGCTAGGTTGAGTACTGAATTTCCCTTTCTTTTATTGGCTAGTGGCTCTTTTGAGCTCCCATTTGTACATCTATTGCTCATACTAATTGGTACGGTCAAATCCTAAAACTAAAGAAAACGCTTACTAGGAGTAACTAAATTTGAAAAATTCAGAATGGACATTAATTGGAATTATAGCATGATTGAAAATGCATATTAACCCCTTTCTCTAACTCTTGACATAGTGACTGTGTAAATTAACCAGTTCATCGCTTGTTCTCTCATGTTGATATTCTTCGTACCTAACACGATTTCGACTATTCCTCCTCTTCCGTGTGCACTTGTTCGACTAAAGTAAGCTTTCCTTGTCCTACCAGTCCTAATTGGAGGGGGTATCGTTTATAGTACCAAACATGTGATGACTAACCATGTCGTAGATGTCGAGGCTACGATATTACCAAATGAGAAGAAAATGGTGCATTGCTAGGACCGGCAGGAAGGAACCCATAAATTGGAAACCTAAAAAGTTGTTTACATAGCCATAAAGATGATAATAACATGCTGTCTATCATTATTTACTCTATTTACGGCATGCTTAGGAAGGATCGATGTCTTCCTTTCAGGGTTGTTTTTGGCCCCCAGATTCACAAAGAACGGGGGGAGGAGAGTCTCGGACCGGTGGACCTGAAGTGTCGCCACTCAGTTCACGTGTTGGCTCGATCGGTGTCTTCCTCGGATTGCGACCCGACCACGTCTTGGCTCGATCAGCGGTCCGCCCGTGGCAATGCCCGTAAATTAGATGGGGATTTCATGGCAAATTGTCGAGAAGATTGGTGGTCTGAATTTAGTGTTGTTTTTTTAATGTTTTTCCTGGGTTTTTGGGTGGACATATGCATTTGATATCCACCATGCGAAAGAGAGAGAGAGAGAGAGAGAGAGAGAGAGAGATATGGAAGAAAGATGGGATCATCGGTCCTTTTCCGTGCAACCCAACGGGGCGACCAACCGACAGCCATGGGTCCGCCCATTCACACCCTTGTTGTTTCCTTTTAGAGTTGTTTCACGTATTTAGTGGAGATTCCCACTTAGAAAAAGAGGTGATGGGAAAAAAGCAAAGAATAACAAAACCCCACGGTGGTTTGGTTTCTTGTGCAAAAGCCAGCAAGATCTTCCTCAGCCCCCCTCTCTTTGGTAGAGCATCGGCTCGGCCACCCAATCAAGGGTGGCCCGCTTTTTCCTCCGTCCCTGATTGGAGAATCTTCGACAAGAGATGAAAAGATAATATGGTCCTTGTTTACACCTAAAAACGATCGACTTTCTCCGTTGACGACGGATGATGGAATCGGTTGATTACGATAAGGGCCGGTCGAGGGAAGTCACCGATGGTCGAGGCGATCGACTTGAAGATCATCTTGTAGAGATGGACGACCAACGCATAGAAGATTGTTTGTGAGGATCGTTGCTAATCGATCACGGTCGTCAACAATCTAACTATGAAAAATTTGATGAGTGTTGGAGTTGAGAAATGAAAGAACATGTCGATTTCAGTTGAAGTATGACTATTAATTTTGATATCCAGCGATGGTTCTAGTACCAAGTGACGGTTAGTTATCTCAATAACCTTGAAAATTGTAACTTAGCTTTGGATAATGATCATCTGGGTATGAAAGGTACACCTAGAATTTCGGGAAATGTGTATTAAAGCATAACTATTTGTTTGTAACTGTTGTTAATGAGATATAAATATCCATAATAAATTATTGAAAAGGAGCCCGGCACAACTATCGATGAAAATACATTATAAATATCGACGGTGGGGATGAGGCGCGATACTTGTAGGCTTTGTGAAGGGGCCGATGACGACTTTGATGGCGGCCGCCATGACGGAAGAGGAGAGAGAGAGAGAATTCAGAGATGAAGTGGAGGGAGACGAGGATGATGAATGAGTTAGCTTGAAATTTACCATTTTCTTACCCGAAAAGAAGAAAAGAAAGAAAAAAGAAAGAAAGAAAAGATAAAATCGAAAAATTTAGAAAAAACAACGTTGTTTCTTTTAAATTTGTCAACGTCATAATACAAATTGCTATGCTTAGGATGGCTGACAATGACCGGATCCCTATGTCAGATATTTCAAATCTTGGCCAGGACAACTTGATTGCACCTTCACCAAAAAGTTTAGGATTCTGTTAGTTTACCTGAAAGGTGTATGACCGAGTTTATGATTGATTGTGCAATTCTTCCCCGACCTCCACTTGCAAAAGTCGACATGAAGAATAAGTAGCTTATCCCAAAAACAAAGGCAAAAAGAGAGAATTAAAAGGCATTAGAAATGTTCATTCATTTGCAATATATACAGTAGGATTTGTAGCACCAACAACTGTTCTGCAACTTCATCTTTTTACTTTCTCCATAAGCACCAGTCATGGAAGTTGATGCAGGTAATTCAATAGCGCAAGTATCATTACAGATGGAAAACTGGAAATTTTCCTAAATTCCGTAGATTCAATGGACAAATCGACTAATTATGACTGAATACTTAATGGCATACATTAATTATAACAATCGAATTGTTTATATAATATTGTAGTAATTATTATTTTTAAGGAGAAAGAAAAAAATATTAATTAATTACACATGCCACTTGGAGCAACAACATCAAATTAGATCCATCTTTACTTTATAGATTTAAATTAATTGAAATTGCAACAAAAAAATACTTAACAAGTACTGTCCAAATCAATAGTGATATGGCTAATACGATACACATTCTATAGTATTGGTGCATGTAGCCACCTCATAGTTCATGCACACGCATGTCGTGCCACATTGCCCAAGAATTTAATCCCAACTTGACAATGATATATTATATTAGATTGGATTGTATAATATTAAATAGCTTATAAATTATATTGCAATCGTTTATATGTTGCAAACTTATTTCAGATATACAAGGAATAGAACTTTTTATCTTTGTATATATATTGCAAACTTTGTTAACTGATAATGGGAATGTATGTTTCTTTATCTTCAATATTATAAGATGTGACATCTTTTTTTTAATAGTAAATATATATAATTAATTAGTAATAAGTTAATATTCAAATTCCTTTTAGGAGTATCAATATTAGATAAGCGGATAATTAAACTTTTGTATCTAATTAATGAATGAGATAATGGTTTATATATGGACTTCAGCACTAAAGGAATCTAGACCATTAAAGAGACTCAATACATCAATACAACTAAAGAATCTTGGGTGATACAAGATTTTACACAATATAAAAGATAATAATATTCCTACCATACAGAATGATATCTCTAACACTAACAAAGTCGTCCACCACTTTTGTGAATTTTTTTTTTTGGAAAATTACAT